CGTGGTAGTAGACACATTGTAGTTAAGTCTATATCTTTTCGTGACACCCCTATCTATTCCGTGGCTGGATACGACTTAAAAAACGTTTAAAAATTTCTTTGTTTAATTGTTTTTTGATTACTAGCATTATTTTCACATCCTGTATTTGTTGGTAATTCTCCGCCTCTTCCCGTTTATATTCTTCACTATTTAATTATGTACGCACTTCTTATTACGTAATGGTTTTAATGTTTCGTGTTGACTATTTTAAGTCTATTTATCTACGTTTGATCTACTAGTGATAAAAGTTTAGTTATCGTATTTTATATTTTTCTTACTACTATCAGTAGTCATCTGTCTTCCTACTGTTATCAGCTTGTACTTCTGCCTATTATATGTGTAGTGACGTAATAATCTATTTCATTTCATTGAGATGATTGACTCATAAATTGCGTGCCTTGACTGGTTTCACATTTTCATATCAACACTCATGTATATTAGAGTAAAGCAGCCTAATGACGATTTCATCGAAAACAACACTATTGTTCGCTTATATGCGTGCTGTTCAAATTTTCACACTGGGAATCTTTAATATACATAAATAAATATAATCGATGTGTCCCAAAAATGTTTGTTACAGCTTCTCAATTTATGATAATTTTCTATTTAGGTATTTTTATACCTCACAGAAAGTTTGAGATATTCATTTCATTCATATATAGTGTTTGTTTTATTAATCGAATTATTTAACTTTCTGTGCAACTGTGCATGCTACTACTTTTACAAATAATTACTAAATGTCTTATCTTTCACTATACAGTGTTCCTGTTCAATCGATTTTCTAACTGTAATAATTAAACAATCATTTTTTATTCATATTTTGTTTTAAAATCTGAATTATTGAGTGTTACGCCTGAACGTAAACACGTCATTTTGATATACTTGAACTAGAACTAGTGAAAATAAGAAGACTTGAATGTGGAGTAGAACGTATATTCTACAATCATCCAGAAAGTACGAGGTCCGAGTCCAGAAGAGAATCAGGAACCCGGACTAGGGATCCGGGACCGGGTCCTGGTCCTGGTCATAAAACGTTACACATAATGCGTATTTATACATTTTGGTCGAATAGGAAACAACATCGAAGTCTGTGACATTGACAGTTAAAACGACCAATAGGAAACAACATTTGAAGTGACATTGACAGTTAGGACAACCAATAAGAAACAACATTGTAGCGTGTGACATTGATATCTACGACGACCATAAAATTGACCAGTCTGGATTAACCAATAAGAATAGACTAATAATTCTCTTAGGATATTGGATGAATATACTAACATTGAGTTACTCACCATCGTTAAAACAGATTTTCAAATGTTTCATTGAACCTATTCAATGCTGAGCATTGATTTTTTGTGATTACTATTGTATTCAATAATTCAGTGAGTGCTTTGACAAAGAAACTAATTGTCTATCATCAATATGAAGTTATTCTGATTTAGAATTTGTTTATACTGAATACTATGCAGATAAATTTACTAAAAGCTCAAAAACTTATTATAAGAAAAAGGAAAATCGATGCACAATACGCCATATAAATAGACATTGTTTTCTCTTAAACCTATTATTGTATTATTTAAGGTTGATCCGATAGAAACGTCATCAATTAATCAATAAAAATACAGATATGAAAATTTTGGTATCTTGTCAAATCAAATTGAAGGTCAAATTTCAATGGTGACTGAGATCAATTGATTGTTGTATCTATTCATCATGGTCAACAGTAAACTAACTTTACAGTTAGATAAAAATTGATTAGAATCAATAAATTTGTGCTGAGTTAATAAACATATTATAGTGTGTTTTTAAAACAATCAGTCCTTTTTATAAATTTTGGTTGAACAATGAAACGATGTAATTGATCTGAAAAAGTATGATGTATTTGCGCTGTACATTTCCAACAATCTGGTCACACATGCATACATACTTGTCAAGGCATTTTTTTTTAATGAAGATTAATAAAAGGTCAATTAAATAAAAGTTCACATAAACATAAGGTTGATGATTATAAATAAAGCCGACGGAATATTATGGTAATGTAGAAAGGGCCATAAAATGGCTTGAAAATTACCATGGTATATTCAAGATTAGAACAACACATAAGCAAACAATATTGTTTTCGATTACATTGTTAAACCAATCAAGGCTATTTGAGTCAATAACCACAATAAAAATGAAACAGATTACGTAAGCTATTTCTAATCTAATCGAAAACAATATTATTCGCTTATGCGTTGTTCTAATTTTCACAGTGGGATTCTTTAATATTCTTAAGGGGGGTTTGAATTTATGAAAAGAGCAAAGGCTTTCATAAACATCAGAACTCATTCTTGAAAGTTTTAAAGGCTGCTTTGATGTCAATTACGTGTTTTGCGATTGGATGAATATAGTTTTCTGTTTCAAACGTTTGTCGGTTCATCTGACGTCAACTGATTTTGAAGCCACTTAGGTACGCGTTCCATAACCCTTGATTGCAAGTCTTAATGGATTCTTGGATTTATGAATTTGAAATAATCCATATAAATTCGAGAGTATATGATGTAAATAGGTGTACAAGAAACAATGTCGGAAATTTGTGGTTTGAATTATGAAAAATGACTTTTGGTAATATCAATGTATTTATGAATGAATAGTGATATAAATAACATTTTTATATAATTTGAAATCATGAATCGATCAATGTTAGACCGCCACCAATAGAAACCTGGAAGCAACGAAAGTGCGGTCGTTTCGTCCTGGTATAGGACTCAGCAGTGGCAGCGCGCATACATGACTCTTGCACCTCGCAGGATTTCGACCTTTGGTCATGCGCGCGAAAGCCTAACTTCTGAACCACTGTGCTGGTAATTGACGGTGTTAATGTCTAACTTCGATAAATTCACAGTCTAGCGCAACCTCATACACTGTCTTCGGTAGTTACTATCACGACTTTCAAATGTGTAACTTAACAATCTTCACAACCCCGTTATGCAATCACCTGTGCTCACTAGTAGCTAGCTCCGTGAGGAATCTTCTCCGAGTTTTAGCGACAAGTCTTGACCAATGAAATTCAACCTGTTCGGATGTATACAGTAGCTAACGAAGACAGTTTTTGCGGTTGCGCAAGACTATGATCGCAGTGAGACATTAACACTTTTAGATACCGAGTTAGTGGTTCGCGGGTTAGGCGTTCGCGCATAAGACTAAAGGTCCAAATCCTGCAAGATGCATGAGTCATGGATGCGCAATACCACTGATGAGTCCTATACCAGAACAAAACGGCAGCTTTTTCAGTACTTCCAAGTTTCTAATGATGGTCTAACATGAGATCGATTCATAATTTCAAACTATAAACATTGTCGGAAATTTATGTTTTGATTTATAAAAACAATTTCCAGTGATGTTAGTGGATTCCCTGAATGTATATTGATATAAATAACATAAGTTTACATAAATATAATTGTCAAACTATTGAAAAACAATTACTCGTATAATAATTTATTGTCTTATAAAAAAAATTGAACAAAAGATAATTTTTTAATTGTGTGTTTTTTTGAAGAAAAATTTTTTATATTCTAAATTAAATTTACAAAGTGATAGAGTTTTTTTTAAGTACACTTATTCTAATGCAAAAATATATAATTATATAATTGAATGAATCAGTTGTTTTACGATTATTGAATTATGCAAAGAAAATGCTTATTACCGATTGAAAAACAAAAAAGAATCACTCACAAAGCTGAGTGTTTTTTTCTGTTCAATCACGAAACAAGCTGTGTTCTAGGGTCTGGTAACCTTAATAGTGTGTTTTAAATCTTAAATATATATATATATATATATATATATATATATATATATATTAGATTATCAATATAAAATTATAATTATCTACCTAGTAATTAATTAATTAATTAATTTAAAAATTATCTACAAAATATATCTCACAAATTGTATAAGTTATGTTTTAAAAGTTATTAAAACAAAAAACAAGAAACTTATTGGAACACAATTGTTGATAACATAATAATAATAATAATAATGAATATGGCCTAGATATCTAGTGTCTAAAACAGAATATTTTCTGATAATTAATAAGTAACAACATACTGTGGAAGAGAACAAACTAGATTTCAGTGGAGGAGGAGGAAATCAGGAAGAAGCAGTGGAAGTGCGAAGGACACACACTGCGAAAAGCATCCAACTGCATCACAAGACAAGCCCTTTCTTGGAACCCTCAAGGTTAAAGGCAAATAGGGAAGCCAAACAATTTATATCGCCGAGAAATAGAGAAAGACATGAGAAAAATGAACAAAAATTGGAAAGATTTGGAAAGGGAAACCTAGGACAGAGTAGGTTGGAGAATGCTGGTCGGCAGCCTGTGCTCCATTGGGGATAACAGGCGTAAGTAGGTAATTAAGTAATTAATTCCGTTAAAAGATAGTGATCAGAATGAATAAAAATATATTGATATGAACAGTGTAACGGAACAGTAACTACAGCATGTTAATTGTGGATTACACATTTATGAAACCATGAATCGATTAATGTTAGACAACCATTAGAAACCTGGAAGCACTGCAAGACGGACGTTTTCTCCTGGTATGGGACTCCTTAGCAGTGCGCATCCTTTGACGTCTGCGCCCAGCAGGATTCGAACCCAGGACCTTTGGTATTGTGCGCGAACGCCTAACCATTGGACCACTGAACCGGTATCTGAGGAGTCCCATACCAGGACGAAACAACCGTCCAGTGATTCCAGGTTTCTAATGGTGGTGGTCTAACATTGATCGATTCATGATTTCAAAAATGTGTAACTTAACAATCTTCACAACCCTGTAATGCAAATTGTGGATTAAACAAGTGTTAAGTGCTTATAAGGTTATGCAATAACTTGATAATTCATATGAGATTGGCCAAAAAAAACTCATAGGGATTGTGATTATTAAGGGAAAAAGGGTAAATTTCAATTCTATACTTACTGATTTGATCTGTCGTAGTCTGGTGCTGAAGCAGTAGTAACAATTAGTTTACCATCAGATCCACATAAATAGTTTACACGTTTTTTTGGCTGTTCATTATTCAATTTAGAATCATCTGTTTCTGTTTCACTTGTTTCTAGGAAAAAAAGGGAAGAAAGAGCAAATAAAAGGCTAAATAGTTACATAAGAGATATTTTATTTGGTACAGCTGTATTTAATGGAGAAACCAATCAGATTTAAGATAGTATTCCAGAGAATTCCACAGATCTTTCAAGATTTTAATGACAGATAAACAGCGATGTATTAGGAGTTTATGTAAGAACTAAATAAAACGCACCGATATCTAATAATGAAAAGACAAGAATGATAAAAATGACAAAAGTTATTAAGGTTAAGCTCTCACTGTACGACCTGAAGGTCCTCGGTCGATTTGTCGTGAAGTTGTGGATAGGCAACCTTTTAGACATGATAACCGCCATAAACCTCTCTATATTAATAATTGAAACGATTGTGAGTAATTATAACTTACGGTTCTAACGAGATAATTTTTTAAATTCAAATTGTAGTGCCTCCACATATATTCGAGTTCGCTTACATTTGATTTGGTTAAGCCCTTTTGATCAATTTATTTAGCTAAGCCATTTGTATTGCAACAATTTATATGTACCAATCGTTCTTATTATTGTCTGGTTTGTGTAAGCTCACAGACGTGTCACAATTGTCATTTGACCTTGTCAATCATTCGTCGCTTTTATTCATGTATGTGCATGCCTATTCCGCTTGTCACATGTCTGTCTTATATTTGTCTGAATATATATTCAAAGTCTTGCTCTATTTCTTTGAGTTGTCTCAGTAGCCTTCTCCACATTGCTTCATCCTATTCGCTTCAGTCGCTCATTCGCTCGCCAGTGGACACACCACAAAATAAATAACTATAAATTGCATTGATAATCTACCATATGACTACCAGAAATTCCTTCATTATGAACTTAGACTTTAACTTAATTTAATCCTTCAAACTATATCAACCATGTAATACGTTTTAAAAAAATTCTACTGTTTTGAAAATCTGATTGAGTAATAAATGATTGAAACTTTCAAGGATCACTTGTAAATTTTACTAGTGATACATGGGATATTGAGATTTGTTTTACGTATGGCAAGGGGGGGGGTTGGGAGTAAACACAGATAACAGATGAAAATTTAATAGACACTACAAACAATGCAAAAACTACATTTAAATACAGTGAGCTATACGTGGTGAATTACTTATATGGTCATTCATAAAATCTGAGTGAACTGAATTAGGCAATACTTGATATTAATCAGTCAATCAGTCACAATCTACATTAAGGCCAAAGAATACATTACGCAAAGAAACAGAGAAAGATATGAGAGGAATGAACAAACATTGGACAGAACAGGAAAGGGAAGCGCAGGACAGAGTTGGTTGGAGAGAACCGCTCGGCGGTCTATGCTCCAATGGGTATAACAAGCGTAAGTAAGTAAAATAGTAAGTAAGTAAGTGAGTAAGTAGGTAGGTAGGTAGTTAAGTAAGTAAGTAAATAAGTAAGTATGCAGGCACGTAAGTAAGTAGGGAAGTAAGAAGATAAGTAAGTAGGTAGGTAGTTAAGTTGTAGTGAAGGAGAACACAGGTGAGGGCAACCGAATTGTATTCAACGAAAATTACAGAGTTACTCAGTAAAATAGGAAAACCATATCGTAAATTGTTCATTTGCAAAATTTCAGTTCATCCTATCGAACTGGACTGTTCCAGTTGCCGAACATCAATCCATTGTCACTATTCATGCGTTTCATACAAATTCCATTGTTTTCTAACTCTTCCTTTCTTGATCTTCCCCCATCTTCGGCTGCCAGACATTACGTTGACGCTCACGTCATATACTACTTATAAGTAGCTCACACCATAAAGTAAGTAAGTAAGTAAATAAGTAAGTATGCAGGTACGTAAGTAAGTAGGGAAGTAAGTAAGTAGGCAAGTAGTTGAGTAAGTAAGTAAGTAACACTGTACATCAATACAGTAGAGGAAAGTATCTTGAATAGCAAATCTAAATAAATTACTGAATTTTAATTATTTTTGCGTAGAAGAGGAATAGTAATAACACGAGTTTATTTATTTCATGAACACATTTCAGATGTGTGTTTTTTAATCCTAATTATATATTTACATCACTTAAATAAATAATAATCTAATATACATATATACATATATTGTGCACATTTTTTTTGACAGGTAATTACTAATCACAGTTAATAAATAAGGAAAGAATTTTTGTAGGATTCACATTCAAAGCACACTGAGAAAAAAAACGGACATTATAACTTTCAAAAATATACCAAAAATATTGGCATGTCGTTCGATAGAGTATGCAACAGTTATTTGTTAAAGGTTGATATTAGTTAGTGAACTAGGGCAATTTCAACAGTACCTCATAACTGTTTTATCATAATTCTGTATAAAATTCAGGATTTTCAGATCTGATGGATATAATTATTAATTTATCGAAATATTCAATCGTACATTATCTCGGTTTACATTTCGTATACAGAAATATCTAACTGATCGCTATTTTTCCTCACTTGATTTTAAGTAAAATACCCTTTTTATTTTTTTAATACAATGATCTGTGATATTTTTAGTCTGCTGAAGATTATCTGTATCGAAGAGATCTTCGATTTCTCTCCGACGTGTTTCCTTTAGTTCATTCATCGATAATGTGTTAGTGACGTTAGATCCTCAAAACTCACTTCGAGAAGGTCTTAATTTTTGGATTTTTTATGTTTTCGCGCATAAGCTGCTCAGTTGGCCCTGAGATTACATTTCCCAATCGGAAAATCCTTGAGTGTCATTGGTTGATGTATTATTTTAGTACGCTATTTCTGTGGCTCTCCCAAGGACGTTTGTCTTGTATAAATAAGCTCGATTTGTGTGCTTGTCAACCTCGTATTTTCTGGATGCTTGTAGAATACACTTTCTACGCCTTATCGACACTTCTCTCTGTAGTTAGCCAGATCAGAGACAAACGGATTAGAATAGAATATCGTGTCACTTCATCAAATGTCTGCGCTCCGTTTACCGACTAAATTGAACTCGTAATACTTTCAAGCACATCAGTTGACGAGCATATCATAATCATTTTGCATATATTGATCAATTTATTTATCGATTTGAGGTGACAATGTTCAACATTAAGTTATGTTATATACGAGAGAGAGAGTTATAACTACTATCAAACTATTCATTGCAAAGTTTTTGTCGAATATAATACAAATCTATGAATTATTGGTTAAAACTTAACTACTTTTATCAGTAAACGTGAGGTATATTCCTTTTTTAAAAGGTTATTCAATAAAAGTGCACTAGATTGTGATTAGCCAGAAAAAGCCTATGAATCAAGTGAATAGATATCAATGTCCTATGAATATTTTACTTGTCCTTTAATAATACTATTTTTCATTATAGACCAATGGAGATTGCTGTTTATTACTGAAATCATAAATCATTCATGAAACCTGAAAGCATTGGACGAACTTTTCGTTCTAGTATGCGATTGATCAGAATTAAACATAAACAATGTTAGATGCTGACTCAGTTGTCTAAAGGTAAGGAGTTGACACGCAAGACCGAAGTTCCTTTGTTCGAATTCCAGCGAGTAGCTAGAGTTGTGGATGTGCACTGATGATGAGTCCTGTACCAGAACGAAACGGCTATCCAATGCTTCCAAGTTTCTAATGATGCTCTAACAATGATTCATTGATGATTTCAATGATAATATTACGCTGATAGCTTAATCTTCAACCCAAACACCTAATTTATATATCCACATATTTAATAAAATTGTTTCTTTTATTGGAGGTATCTCATGAAATAATAAAAGAATTAAAAAGGAACTAAACTAGACATCTGATTGTTGAAAGTGTATCAACAAAAATACAAGTAATCACATTCAAATTTACATCACAATAATAATAATAATAATTATTATTATTATATCATAATAAGTTGGTATTTCTGTTTTTAATAAAAATTAAATAACTAATTATTACGAAAGTTTACGTATGTAGATGGTTAGAGTAATCAATATATATATATATATACGTATATGTCTAAATAAGTGTAATCCTTAATACAATATTATTACTATTATCATTATTATTATTATTACTATTATTATTATTATTATTATTATTATTATCAATGAACAACATACCAAAGGATGTGAATGACCTTATTATTATTAGCATTTTCATTTCTACGTATCATCAATACAAGATTTAAACATATTTATATTCATGCAAATTGAATTTTTGCTTGTTTAGATGAACAAAGTACATTTTTTTAAAAATATTTTAACTGTTTGTTTTTCTTATGAGAAACTGTTTATTTTACGGTGAAAAAAAAGAATGATTTCTTTTGAAGTAATAATTTTTTTTTCTCTATTTTAATCAATTTTATAAATCACAGGGTTTTTTTTTTGTAAGAGCAAAACAGCAGAAGAAAATAGTGTACATAATCATTGTGTGTGTTTATGTGAGAGAGAGAGAGAGAAAAAAGAAATCTCAGTGAGGAAACTAAAAATTACAGTTCAATTAATGTTATTAACATACCAATATACTTATCCTTTTGAAATCATCAATAAATCACTGTTAGACCACCATTAGAAACTTGGAAGTACTAAAAGTGTGGGCGTTTCGTTCTGGTGTGGGACTACTCATCATTGGTAGTGCACATCCACAACTCCTGCAACTCGCAGGATTTGGACCTTTGGTCTTGTGCGCGAACGCCTAACCTGTGAACCAGTGAGACGGTATCGAATGGTGTTAATGTTTAACTTCGATTCAAACACTGAGTCGTGGATATGCAATGCTGATGAGTAGTCCCATACCAGGACTTGACGTCTATCCAGTGCTTCCTGGTTTTTAATGGTAGTCTAACATTGATCGATTCATGATTTCAAATGTGTAAATTAACAATCTTTACTACTCCCTAATGCAATATATATATATATATATATATATATATATATATATATATATATATATATATATATATATATATATATATATATATATAGTGTGAAATTGTCATAATTTACTAGAAATGGGAAAATGAAT